AAATGACCTAGTTTGTGTGGACTATACCTTTAACCCATCTCTCTCTCTCTCTCTCTCTCTCTCTCTCTCTCTCTCTCTCTCTTTCTAGGCCTGTTCCACAATCCTGGCCAGATTTCCTAAATCAAAATGTTCCTGAATCAACCACTGTGAGTTTTACAACATCTAGCCATTGCTAGATTAGTCAGAAATTCCAAAACTTAGGTACATTATCTCCCTTTATCACAGACATGTCATACAAGCTCATAAAGGAATAGATTTGTTTACAGCCGTTACTAGCATAATGGTAGAACAAAAAGGAAATTAGAAACGTTTCAACTAAGATGTAAAGCGGATCATAGCATTATCATAGGCAAAGAGTGGAAAGTTCCAGCAACCTTGACATTGAACGAATCGTGAACTTTTCAACTCGATTATCGCAGCTAGTTTCATTTGGAAAGTGTGCGACTTGGTATTCGCGATATTTTCTAAAAAGAAATCTAAGGTCTCCAGTAACCAATTGATAGGGTTTTAAGTAAAGGGGAAAGAGAGAGAAATGGGGTTTAACGTCCACTCGACACAAACTAGGTCATTTCGGGACTAACATATGGTTTAATTTTATTTCAATAATTCGCTTGCGCGTAGGGGTCTTTAGCAGTGGGAGGAAACCGGAGGACCCGGAGAAAACACACGAGGTTGGACAGGCGACCATACTCCTTGTCACGTACAACCGGGGATTCGAAACCACGCCAGTTGATCAATGACAGGCTTTATGATACAGCACGTACGTGCAAACCATTCGGCCATCCAACCCCCCTTTTTAAGTGAAGAGCTTGGTAAGAGTTAGGGCGGGATCTAGCCTTCTATTGAAGATGCTCGGTAACAAACTTTTGTAATACAGTTGTAATTTACAAATTGTGGTGGATATCATCTGTGTAGCGTGAAACATTTTTGGAAAAAAATCATAAAGCTAAGAATTTATACGGCAGTGCATGTAGTTTTTGTATTTAACATGTCAGACACCAGTGGCAGTAAATCTATGATACTTCCTGACAGCCATAGCATTAAAGATTTTTGAAAAAAATCATAAAGCTAAGAATTTATGCTGTACATGTAGTTTTTGTATTTAACCTGTCAGACACAAGTGGCAATAAAGCTAAGATACTTCCTGACAGCCATAGTAATCCATTAGACTCAATATTGATGTTGCAGCCTACATTTGAACAAACTGTTGCATTAAGACTATAATAGAACGAATTTATCCATTAGGACATGAGCTAATTATACTGCATTAAGAACATCCAGTAAATTCTGTGATCATCGGCCGATAAACATGGCCGTAAATTATCTTTTCACAAGATGATTCTGTCGGTGTCAGACATATGCATGTTGTGTTATTGATGGTTAGGATTATTGGAGCTTCACGTTAGCAATAATGTTTGCTTTATTGAATCCCATAGGAATACAGAAACAGTCTTTAACATATCCTCCATGCAAATGATTTATATTCGAAGGCATTTGTTATTTCATTCACTAATGTACAGCATATATTTGAAGTTAGGAAAAACAAAGAGCTTTTGAATATTTGAGTAGCATTTGAATATGTATCATTTTATTCCCCATTCTTCATGGGGGGGTTGGATGGCCCAGTGGTTAGCGTGTGCGCACTGTATCATAAGGCCTGTCATTGAGTCAACTGGCGTGGTTTTGATTCCCCGGTTGAACTTGACAAGGAGTAGTGTCGCCTGTCCAACCTCGTGGGTTTTCTCTGAGTCCTCCGGTTTGCTCCCACTGCTAAAAAACCCTACGCGCAAGCGAATTATGGAAATAAAATTGAACCATGTCCCGAAATGACCTAGTTTGTGCTGAGTGGAGTTAAATCCCATCTCACAAGATCTGTCATTGACTCAAGTTGCATGGTTTCGATTCCCAGCTTGTATGTGTCAAGGAGTAGGGTAACCTTTCCAACTTCGTGGGTTTTCTCCAGGTCCTCTGGTTTCCTCACACTGTTAAAGACCCCTACCCACAAGCAAATTATTAAAATTGAACCATGTGTTAGTCCCAAAATGACCTAATCTGTGTCAAGTGAACATGAGCCACCATTTCTCTCTCTCTCTCTCGCTCATTATAAATTTTGGTTTCTTTAAAGAAGTAAGCCATTTATTTGTATCTGATCAAGTAATCTGATGAGTATCAGTACTTGGTCTAATTCTCCATCACTTGATTGCTTGATTAAATAGATTCTACAAGATGGCCGCTCATCAGATAGCAGACAACTCTTTCCATGTCTCCATGACTTTATCTAATTAATCAGGGACATGCTAAATGTAGGCCGATTGAGGAGGTTCGGGAATTTCTGGAGTCCACAATGGCCGCTTTATATAAATGAGTATTTTGGGGAATATTAACCCTAACCCTTTTTAGAAGACTGAACTTGGATCTAATTTACCTTTTATCCCTTTAAAAAGGGTTAGGGTTAGGGTTCAGGCTAGTATTCCCCAAAATACTCATTTATATAAAACAGCCATTGTGGACTCTGGAAATAAGGGAGATGCTAATTATAGGAGGTTCGGGAATTTAATTTCTGGAGTCCACAATGGCCACTTTATATAAATGAGTATTTTGGGAAATATTAACCGTAACCCTTTTTAAAAGACTGAACTTGGATCTAATTTACCTTTTACCCCTCTAAAAAGGGTTAGGGTTAGGGTTCAGGTTAGTATTCGCCAAAATGCTTATTTATTTTAAAGCGGCCATTGTGGACTCCGGAAATTCCGCCAACCGAAATATAATTAGCATCCCCCAATTGATTTACTGTAGACAAAACAATACATCAAAATGACATTCAAAGTTGTAAATACCACTTGTTAACAAACCTATTACAGGAGAATTTATTGGTAATTACACACAAGCATCAGCTGTGTGATCAGGATTTGTTTTAATAGAGGGACGGACACGATCTATCACATTTAATTGCTCAGCAAGAGAATCTAACATAAGCTGAATGTGACATACGCTTTATAAGTCACAAAGGAGAGTTTTTAGTCAATTGAGAAAGTCTCACTCGCCAAATTCAGTGATGATATTGCAGGGATTGACTGGACATTGCCATATAAAGGATTAATATGTTAATATTTCCAAGACTATTTATTTTCAATCTTACATGCACACAAAAGTAATACAGAGAGAAATGGGGTTTAAAGTCCACTTGACGCAAACTAGGTCAATTTTATTTCAATAATTTGCATGTGCGTAGGGGTCTTGAGCAGTGATAGAAAACTGGAGGACCCCGGGGAAAACCTACGAGGTTGGACAGATGACCCTATCCCTTGTCACCAGGGAATCGAAACCATGCAAGTTGATTCAATGACAGACCTTATGATACAACGCGTACGTGCTAACCCTTTGGCCATCCAACCCCCCAAAAATTGAATACAAATGTCATGCACAGGACGGTATATATGCACAGGAACCAGAAATTAGGTGGGCTTTAGCATTTAGTGACGTCTGTGTGTATTATGTATTGTTTAATGGTCGAGAGCGAGACATTGCGTAATATATTGTAACAACAAGAGGGCTAGGGGCCCGAGTGTTTTTACAATATATTACGCAATGTCTTAAGCTCTTATGACTGGTCAATAGTCCGATTAATAACCAATAACTAACTGCGTACTAATATCATTCGGCGTTAAACAGAGCTCCAAATTGGACCAAATATGTTTACATAACTTTACGTCAAATTAACCAGTGCATAGCAGAATATTGCAGAAAAACTAATTCTGTGACAAACGAGGCTATCAAATGGTTACAATGTAAACAATACTGTTTGGAAACGAACAATACTCTCACCATTTTTAATACTTTAATCACTGTCCAAATGAAGGACTGTCATGTTACTGTACTTGGGAAGAATAGACATGCTCCCTCAAAATCTCAAGTATCAGAAGGCAATCCAGCAATGGCCAGAGAAGGATTTCTCAGATCATTGCTTCAGGAATATGTAAAGATGCATGCTTTAGCCCGCCCTATGGCTATAGCTATGCTGCCTGCCACATCAGTGACTGATACATACAGTGAATCCGTTTTGAACTACTTTTCTCCACAGACAGCCTTCTCTTTCTTTAAAATCCAACTGTCAAGGGTTCTTTTAAATGCACACCAAATTGTACAATTGATCTTGGTTTTTGTCCCATCCAAATGACTATACACCAGTGATGGGATTTTGCCCGTATATTCCGGACATGTCCGACGCTATTTTCCAAAGGTCCTAAATTGTCCGACCCAGAATATTCCCAATCGGACATCAAGACATGGTAAATAATATTCAAAATTCCAAAATTAATATAGTGTACTGAGTGTATAACTACCACTCAACCCGATTATCGTTGATAACAGGCTGGCTTGATTAGATAATTAAGTGATCAACGTATTTATCGTTTAATACCGTATATACACCTACCTTGATTAACTACTTAATCTGCCTTGATTGTATAGTATACACTGTTCTTGTCAGTCCCTCGGTCCTGCACCACTGAAGAGGGGGAATCCTATAATTTCAAACTGAATTGAAAAGTTCATACAGACATTTAAATATGGGTATTTAAACATACATTATGCAAGAGCTGAATCTGTCTATTGCTGGCCTTTCTTTAGGCCTGAAATGTTTTCTAATTTATTAATTAGACATTAATTAACTGATCCAGACCATAATATCGAACAATCGATGACTTCAGATTTCTCCAATATTAAATAGATTAGAATGCTTCAGCCATATTTTAATTTAATTTAAAAATGGAGGAGCTAGACTTCGCTACAAACAACCAGTAGGGTGGTTGAAATTATTGCACACATCTTGTCAAACCTTCAAAGGCGAATATCTTCGCTCGCAATAGGGTAATTGGAATGAAATTTTCAAATTATTCATTTTACATTATCTTTTTGCGAACTATATATAGCAAGAATGGCTAGCTCTGTATCAAATCTTACATAATGTATCTTTAATTATTTCATGTTTTTTTTTGCAGACGACATCTGACTTCTCCCAGTTTTCTGATACAAGTAGTATTGGTGATACACGTCAGCTGGTTGAAGAGAAAGATGATGGCCGTCCAAGGAGTGGAATGTATGTCACCAGTTTCAACTTTATCAACTCTATTATTGGATCAGGAGTCATTGGTGAGTACAGTATCATGCACAAGGCAGAGTGTAATTACTCTTCCATTCATTCTTTCTTGTTGATAAACTGATGAATCAACAAGATTTAAAGATACATTCCTGCATACAAACTTTTGATGATATATTTTGGCCTAAAAACATATTCAAAGTAACCAATCTATCAAAAACTTGCTTCAATTCCCTCTCAAAACTTTGTATTCGCTTGGGATAACTATAGCTATAAGTAAGCTGTTGTTAGATGCAATGTCTGTCAACTTAGCTTCATTGTGGGAGTGTGCATTTTTCAGAATGTATTTATCATTACTTACTGTACATTTACCATACAAATTGAGGCCTAAGTAAATTTTTAATTATTTTCTGTCAACTTCTTTTTCTGCCGTTTATTTGCAGAGTCTTTTGTACATTGACACCCCTCAATGTTCCCAAAACCGCCTAACCATTTGATCAAGAAATAACAACCGCTTCCTCACACAAGCTGACACACAATAAGCTGGCAGATAACAGTCGGGTTGCCATTTAGTGATACCCTGACAATTTTGCCCAGTGCTTGCCCCATGTGCGTTTTTCGGGTAATCCAGTATTTTTCTAGTAAGATTGGGTGTCTATACTTTCCATATATACCAAATTTGACATACTTTTATTGGAAAGACCCACCCGATAAATATTTTTCTGGGAAAGTATCTTTAATATGAATTTGAAATAAACCCTAATAGTCAAAAGCATATTGACTGTCTGAATGTGAGAAATTTAAAACTGTGTGTCACTGATGTTAATGGGAAAATATCTACTTCCTGGAATAAGCTTGTCAAAAAATTATTGAGTGTCTGTCTGTGAGAAGTAAAAATCAATTTTTTAATGGCCTCTTGCTCAATAGAAAAGTAAAAAAAATAATAGACAATAGAAGAATCAATGGATAACAGTCAGATCTAAATATTAAGGCCACTTGCTGATTTCATCAAGGTCAGAAGGGGAAACCACGTTGGAAAATCCCGATGAACTTTCTCGGCCAATGCAAGGATCAAACACGCGAATTTCAAGCTAACGAGCCAGTGTCTTACCCAATTAACCACCGTGGCTCCTCCAAGAAAACAAATAACAAACATCTATCATAGCAGCTTTAAATAAGGAGACCAAATGTCTACGCATACACATTAGACAATGGAAGAACATATATTTCTTTTGTCAATATTAAGTAGCCATTGACCTTTTCTTCTGCCTCTGAAGAGCTGGATGAAGGGGAAGTCACTTGAAACGAGAATAGAAATATCTTCCATAACACTATTGAAACCTTTTGTGGACAATCAAAAAACTTGCAGGAAGCCATATTATATGATATTGATTGCTTGTTGATAGTTGATTGCATCCTAGCAAGGATGTCATCAGTTTCCGTTATTGCCAATATTTCTGTGCTGGTGTTTCTTAACTTGGAAGAAGGTTGAATGGAATTAATTGAAATCTGTTCAGATGAAAATCTCTCACCCACACTTATTTGAGGGTGTTGGTTGGCCGAATGGTTTAAAGTGGTCTGTCATTAGGTCAAGTGGCATGGTTTCGATTCCCGGCTTTTAGGTAACCAGAAGTTGTCTGGTTTCCTCCCACATCTTCTTCCCCTATTGTTTGTTGAGTTTATGATTTGCTGTACAGCTATCCTGTATTGTCTGTTAGATGTAGATATAATGCATAGTTCGGGTGAGGATAATTTTGTCCAGACAGCACCATTTCTGTCTTCTCTGTTATAAGAGGTTGTGGTAGTTGGGAAGAACAAGGGGTGGCATCTGTGGTGCTGTCGGGAGCCACGGTGGCTCAGCAGGTAAGATGTTGGATTGCTAACCTGGAGATCACATGTTTGATCCCTGCATTGGCCGAGAAAATTCATCTGCCTTTACTGTCATGGTTCCCCCTTACAGGACAGAGGGCCTGGCAAGGGACAAAGCACTGTTTAGATGGGATGGAAAACCAACGTCCCATGTACACATTGGCGTGCACATAAAAAATCCCTTGGCAGTTGGAATTCGATATAACAGTAAGCCATTTTGTCTTAAAAAGCCCAAAGGATTCTCTTTACTAAATATTAAACCGTCTTCCAGGTCCATTCCAACCAGCCACTATAATTCTAAACCGTTAAATTTACACCAACTTGTCCAATGAAAATAAAACAACGTTGAAAAAGAAAAAGAAAAAGAAAACATTACATTGTATCAGATAAATATTATGCTAGCCTACGCAGAACATCATGCCTTGGGGGAAGCAAATAACGAAATGGCTCAAACAATTATGGACCTGGTCTGAAAACTACATTAACAAGGAACTGCAATTAACAATAGCATGGCAAAACAAAAACTTGCCATCAAATATTCAAAGATAAATGATAAAACCAAATATTATTTTATTACACAACTACCTTTTAAATTTTAATGGGGTTGTTTTGCGTTTTTATTAAGTTTTTATTTACTCTTCATCCATATATTCATTTGTTTATTCACATTTTGCAAACACATTAGAAAGGAATGAAATTAGGTTTAATGGGGTTTGATGCCCTGGATTAATGAAGACATGCATACGCAATATGGTGTGTTAATAAAGGCAAGTTTCCAGCATGGTTTCCCCTAGTCAGTTGTGCAGGACGGAGGCCCTGGCAAGGACAGCTGTCTAGTCATTTGGATGGGACAAAAAAATTTCCCTCATAGCACACTGTATGCCGTAAAAAATTGTTTGCAGAAGGAAAAAAGTTAATATTGAAAGCTAATTAAATCAACCCAATGTCATCCCTAATTGATAGTAGCAGCTTAGCGAATATTACTGCTGAATAGTTTGAGTAGTGCAGTCTCCTTAATTTACCAAATTAGATACCGCTACTTCAAAACATTTTGAATGGAAATGTTTTATAAATGCTTGTTTGAAATAAGTAATTTACTAAATTGAATTTCTCAAAATATTCTCCATTTAATTTTTTTTTTAAAGAAATATTTTTCTTTGAAGTAGTTCTTGCGTGAATACAATACATGCAATCTAATTAATCTCAGATTTCGTGAAACTGAGAATATCCTTTGAATTATTGATGAAATCAATACAATTTACATTTCTAAATTATTTTTTTTAGAGAAAAACTGATAAGACACATGAATCCTCTCGAATTTCTGATCAAATAAAGGACTATTTTCAAACAAATTGCTTGCTCTGAGATAAAGACATGTTATTGTTAATATGGCAGTCATGCATAGGGGATGAAGAATAGTTAATGTTAGCACGAATGCAAGGTGCAGTAGGCCCGCAGGCAATACATGCCATTTCTTGCTCTAATCAAATGAAATGCAGTGGGCATTAACCTTTGACTTTTCTGCACCAATTGGGCTAATGAAGACAGGCATATGTCATGCAGTATGCTATGGTTGTACGTGACCAGGCGTAGGATCCTGTGGTTTCCTCCCACTGCTAAAGACCCGTACGTGCAAGTGAATTATTGAAATAAAATTGAACCATATGTTAGGCCTGAAATGACTTTGTGTCAAGTGGTTGTTAAACCCCATTTCTCTCTCTCTCTCTTTCATTGAAATCCAAGGTCAAGGATGTTTGTTATGTATATGCCAACAAATACACATGTGGCTCGCAGTTTTTCATGCCTTCCTAACAACTAGATGCTTTACATTGCTAGTCCCTCTGTCCTGCACATCTGACAAACTGGAAAATCCTGAGGAACTTTCGACGCGAGGATCGAACACATGACTTCCTGGTTAGTGAGCCAGCTCCCCGTATTTATCAAGTCATTGATTGGCTCCCAAGTCATTTCTTTCTTGCAAGGAGGGTTGGGTGGCCGAAAGGTTAATGTGAGCGCATTTGATCATAAGGTCTGTCATTGAGTTAAGTGGCATGGTTTGCGATTCCCCACTTGTACGTGACAAGGACTAGGGTCACCTGTCCAACCTCATTGGTTTTCTCCAGGTCCTCCGGTTTCCTCCCACTGCTAAAGACCCCTACGCGAAAGTGAGTTATTGAAATAAAATTGAACCATATGTTAGTCCCAAAATCACCTAAGTTGTTTTGCATGGATGTTAAACCCCATTTCTCTTGCTCTCCCTTTCTTGCTTATCACTAATATCATTTTTAATTACAATAACGATGGGTTATTTGCGTTTTTATCGTAATATCAAATTTATGACAATGAATCCTCGCTAATATGTTCAGAGATTGATTAATTACTTGATATTTAATCAAGAAAATAATACCAACATTAGATAACCTCCCGACTCGGATTTAATCGGATTTAAAAAATTCTTATCAGATTTATTACATATGTGAGAAGCATATATAGATGAATGAAGTTTCAATTCAACAGATCTTTGTTATTTGGAGTGAGGTTCATCTTTCACAATATTGTGCTAAACTGACACAAAATTGTGTTTATAAGGGGTTCTTATTGTGCTACAATGTTAATATTATAGTTTATAATATAAGGGATTTCTATTGTGCTACAATGTTAATTTTATAGTTTACTAGCAGGGTACCCGGCTTCGCTCGGGGGTCATAACTCCGAAACCGGAAGTGGTAGACTAACGCCGAGCTACCCCTATACCCCAAATTTCAGACTCAGGGCAGACCTAGTGTAGCCGCCAACCCCGATCAGACAGACAGACAGACAGACAAACGACAGTCACAAATATATATATAGATAAGGGATTCCTATTGTGCTAAAATGTCACAATATTGTGGTTTATAATAAGGGATTCCTATTGTGCTAAAATGATACAACGAGACTTTAAAGGTAGCATTTCAATGGGTTTCTAAAATTTGTTCAGAGCCACTGTGGTCTTTATATGTGTTTTAATAGAATATAGAAACAGATTAGATGGCCAATTTCCTTTAATGTAGTTCTGGTACTATACAGTGTAGGTTCATATAGACACATTAGATGGATCATCTTCTTTATGTAGCTCTGATACCATACAGTGTAGGTTGATAACGAAACAGATTAGATGGCTAATCTCCTTTAATGTAGCTCTGAT